AAAGACAGCCATCCCTCAGTATCTGCGGGGAATTTACTCTGGGACCTCCTAAGGATGCCAAAATTCATGGCTGCTCAAGTCCTTTGAAAACGGCAAGGTATCTGAATATAACCAGTGCACATCCTGTCATATACTTTAAATCATCTTTAGATTACTTACAGTACCTAATACAATGTAAATAGTTGCACTGTTTTTTTATTGTTGTATCATTATTTTTTAACATTATCCCCCCCATATCTTCAATCTGTGGTTGGTTGAATCCACAGATGCAGAACCCACAAATGTGAAGGGCCAACGATACTTGCTGAATGAACAATATTATACAAGGGGCATGATAAAGTAAGAGGACATCTGACTAGGAGTTGGGAGACCTGCATTTAATACTAGTGTCAACAACAGCTTGAGTACTTACTGTATGTCACACAGTGTGAGACTCTTGAACACTACAGTATTTCATTTAATCTTCAGGACGATTCTGAGAGATAGCATCACCATTTCATATAAGACGAAAGGAGGGGCCAATTTACACAGGGTCACTCAGATAAATAAGTGGAAGAAAAAATCTTTGAACCCAAGTTTGGTGGTATCCAAAGCACAGCTCTCTGTTAGAAGTTCGTCCCATAGCTAACGCTGGAGAGCAAAGACAAAAAAACCGGAAACCCTCTGGATTCCCATTTCCTCTTCTGTTTACTGAGCGAGACTAACACGTCAGGCTCCGCTGGCTCTGCGCATCACAGTGTGATGGCTCTAAGTGTCAACAGCATTGGCTCAGTCTTGCCTGCCCCTGCTGCCTTGACAAGAGTGAAGGAGATTTTCATGTGCAGCATGTTATAGGCCTTTTCAGACAACATATTTTATTTTTATTCTCTTCTCTTTTGAAAAAGTCTCAGGGGATTCTGAAGTCCGAGGAGAGGGACCCATTTTTGGAACATTGCTTCGAAGCTAAAACCTGCTGTTGGTCAACAGAGCCAGCAAGTGGTTATTTTTGTTCTACAATCCTTCACTGATACGAATGCTGGCTGAAACTGTAAAACTGTAAAAATGGACAAGAAAAAAAAAACAATTCAACTACTAGAGAAAGAAAAATAATGAAAGAAACAAGCACAAATGTCCATTTGTTCACCATGTTTCAACTGCACTTTTGCAGCTGGATAAAGGAAAAGAATTTTAGTGGTTCTCCTGACATCATCTATGCATTGCTCAGACGGTGTAAAACAGTTACGCCCTATCTGTGGTCACAAAGCTTACAGTCAGGAACATGAGAGCTCTCTTCTACCACTATTTATTGAAGACCTTCTCAGTGGTGTTAATATCTCAGGCCAGTGTTTTTAGGCATAGCTCTCTAGAAGTAAAGCACATTATTAAAACAAACTATAGAGCTCTCCTCTCTGAATATCTTTCACCTGCTACCACTCATTGACACCATGACACCATGCCTGGTCTAGAAGATGGAAATTCTAGAAACTGACAGCTGCTAGGAGGCTGACACCAAAACCCAGCTTGGTTTCTCTGGAAGAGCCTATGAGGCCCGGAGACATGTCATTAAAGCATCTCATCAGAAAGAATCTTCAACAGCATTAAGATGATTAAAAATCACTGCCATGTTGAGAACAGTGTTCAACATAGGAGAATAAACACACAGAAGGAGGAACTGGCTTTCTGCCTTTAAAACAAACTCACCTTTTTACCAGTGAGATCCCCTTTGGACTGATGATATGATGGAGACATTTTTACCTGGGGAAACAAAGGCAAACATTTTAATACCTTTTCAGTTAAAGTCTAGTTTTGTTCGACTCACATTCAAAATAATTCAACTAGAATTGGTATCACTGAGATAAAACAGACATTTCCAGAGGAACAATTAACAGATTTTGTGTTAAGTCCCCTTGAAATTTTTCTGGAGATCAAAAAATCAGTAGTGAACCAAGAAACAAATCTGATTTGGGTAAGAAAAGTGGGACAGATGGTCTAGTCTGATTTTAACCAAATGGTGAGGAACTAAATAGATAATGGATCTTTGGTGATGATGTTAAGCAACGGAATAAAAACAAAATATATTGCCTGAAAGGGCCTATAACATGCTGCAGTGATCAGTCTTTCTTGCAGAAGGCAACTCAAAGTATCTGTTGTGATACAATATCCCTCTGAAGCAAAGCATGCACAGAAGACTTTGACCATAGTGAAGGATTTAGAAAAAGTATCAAACTGTAATAAAAGGATGTTTAGTCCAAGAAAAAAAAGACTAATGGTATAGATATATCTTTAAATATTTGAAGAGCTGAAAGACAGAGATTTTAAATAAGACAGAAAGACCCAACTACATGCTGCCTACAAGAAACACTCCATTTAAATATGAAGGCTCAAATAGATTAAAAGGATGGGAAAAATATACCATGATAGCACTAGATGACTGATTGATTGACTGATGGATTGATTGAAATGCAGTTTCACTCCTGTTGCCCAGGCTGGAGTGCAATGGTACAATCTTGGCTCACTGCAGCCACTGCCTCCTGGTTCAAGTGATTCTCCTGCCTCAGCCTCCCAAGTAGCTGAGATTACAGGCATGCGTCACCACGCCTGGCTAGTTTTTTGTATTTAGTAGAGATAGGGTTTCACCATATTGGCCAGGCCGATCTCAAACTCCTGACCTCAGGTGATCTGCCTGCCTCAGCCTCTGTGCCCAGAAGGCTGGGATTACAGGCGTGAGCCACTGTGCCCCACCAATAGTACTAGATTTTAGAGCAAAGACTACTATCAGGTATAAAAATGGTCATCCCATAATAACATAGGGGTCAATTAATCAGGAAGACACACAATGCTAAACATCTATGCAGCCAACAGCTTAAAAATGTATGATGCAATCGTGCAAATAAATATGCTGAGTGAAAGAAGTCAGATAAAAACTGTATATCTATTTTATAGTTTCATTAATCTAAAACTTTAGAAAATACAAACTAATTTATTGTTTAATCGGTTTATAAAACTAATCAGTAGTTGACAGGGAACAGGAGGGAGGGATTAAGTAAATATTTGGTGGTGATGGATAGGGTCATTATCTTGATTGTGGTGATAGATTCATGAATGTATACATATGTCAAATTTACATACTTTATACATGTCCAGTTTATATCAATTACTATACCTCAATAAAGCATTTAAAGAAATTTGTAGCATACAACTAAAACAACAGTGGGTAGAAGAATTTATAGCCATATGTTATATTGGAAAATAAGAAAGGTTTAAAATAAAGGATCCAAGTTTCCAATTTAGGGTACTAGAAAGAGATCAAAGTAAAACCAAACTAAGTAGAAAAGAAATAATAAGCAGCAAAAATCAATGAAATAAAAATCAAACAAAACAAAAGAGAAAATTATCAGGGTCAAAATCGGTTCTTTGAAAAGATAAATAAAATTGATAATCTGCCATTGAGATGATCAAGAAAAGGGGAATATAAATTACCAGTATCAGCAATGAAAGAGGATATATTATAGCATGCAACATCATTTACAGATATTTAAAAAATGATAAAATCCTATTGTGAATAATTTTATGCCAATACGCTTGACAAATTAAATGAAACGGACACATTCTTCAAAAACAGAACTTACAAAAATGGACCCAAAACAGAAAATATGAATAGCCTTATATCTATAAAAGAAATTCAGTTGTTATCAAACATCTTTCTGCAATGAAAATTCCTAGCCCATAGGGTTTCAGCAGTGAGTTATAGCAAAAATATCGAATATACAGAGACCAGAATATCTGCTTATTAATTTACAGGGGTGTTAGTCCATTCTCATGCTGCTATTAAGAAATACCTGTGACTGGGTAATTTATAAAGGAAAGAGGTTTAACTGACTCACAGTTCCACGTGGCTGGGAAGGCCTCAGGAAATTTACAATCATAATGGAAGGGGAACCAAACACATCCTTCTTCACAAGGCAGCAGGAGAGAGAAGTGCCGAGCAAAAGGGAAAAAGCCCCTTATCTCGTGATAACTCACTCACTATCACAAGAACAGCATGAGGGTAACCGCCCCCATGATTCAATCAGCTCCCACCAGGTCCTTCCCAAGACACATGGAGATTATGGGAACTACAATTCAAGATGAGATGTGGGTGAGGACATGGCCAAACCATATCAAGGGCAGAATATAATTATTACTGTAAGTAGTTCAATAGATACTAGATACTCTCTGACTAGAATGAGGTACTGGGAAGCAGTTACAAGACCTCAAGCCTCTTTCAACTCTAATTATAAGAGCCTATAGTACAGATGATGAAGATACACCCTATCATGGTCACACTGCTAGTCAAGTAAGACCACATTGCAGGTTTTGTTTAACCCCTCTGATTCTAAGAATAACTTTAGAAAACATACCTCAGCTCAACAATCAAAACTGCTAGCTATCCAGACTGCCCTTTCAGATTTAGCAGATCTGCAAAAATTAGACTTGACAGTCTTTGCTCTAAACATACCATGACATTAATACTTTGGAATTCACTCCAGATGTATGACGTAGCTTGCTAAAAATGATCCATTTTAACTTCTGGTATGCTCTTTTTAAAAAGGGAGAAAAGAGATTTTCAAAGTAAAGTAGACATTTAAGCTTAAAAAAATGACCTCATGAAAGACTCTGCAGACTTTTAAAAACAAGCCAAGAACTAGATGTGGTGGTGGACGATTTATCTGAGAAGGCTGTTCTCCAGAGATTAAGTCAGAGAATGTTTGCAGTGGCAACAGAAATGGCATCTCTCATGAAAGGCCTTATTTTTTCATTTAACAGGATTCCTTCTGGAAATGCCTCAGGCAATGAAGCTTAAAAGAGACACTTTAAATCCAGGTGTGCAGACACTAGATCTGGGGATAGATGATACACTAAGCTATGGGCTTAATAACGCTGAACTTTTTGTGATCTTTGTTAATAAAATGATTCCTGACTTAACCAAGCAATCTGGGCTGAAGTTTAAAACCAATAGGAGTATCCTCTTTATCACCTTGTATTTTTTTTTTTTTTTGAGATGGAGTCTCACTGTTGTCGCCCAGACTGGAGTGCAATGGTGCAATCTCAGCTCACTGCAACCTTCACCTCACAGGTTCAGGTGATTCTCCTGCCTCAGCTTCCTGAGTAGCTGGGATTATAGGTGCATGCCACTACACCCAGCTAATTTCTGTATTTTTAGTAGAGATGGGGTTTCACCATGTTGATCAGGCTGGTCTTGAACTCCTGACCTCAGGTAGTCCACCTGCCTTGGCGTCCAAAAGTGCTGGGATTACAGGTGTGAGCCACCATGCCTGGCCTTTTTTTTTTTTTTTTAATAGAGCCAGGAATGGTAGATTATACTTGTAATCCCAGCAATTTGGGAGGTCAGAGCAGGAGGATGGCTTGAGCCCAGGAATTTGAGACTAGCCTGGGTAACATGTCAAAACTCCATCTTCACAAAAAATTAAAAAATTAGCCTGGCACGGTGGTGTGAATCTGAGGTCTCAATTACTCGGGAGGGTGAGCTGGGGGATAGATAGCTTGAGCCCAGGAGGCTGAGGATGTGGTGAACTGTGATCACACCACTGTACTCCAGCTTAGGCAACAGGGAGACCTTTTTAAATGGAAAAAATAAAAAAAAAAAAAGACAATTTTTCTGATTGTAAAAGAAATACATGTTCAGTGACACAAATTTAAGGAATATAACACAGCTCAAACAAAGCAAATAAAAAGCACAATCCAATCACACAGCAGTAACTGCTATTAAAATTTAGAATCACTGCTTTGTGGTCTTTTTATGTTGCACATTATGAATGTTTACTTTGACATATCAGTATTATTCTACAATAGGATTTTTCTTTTTTTTGTTTACAATATGATTTTTCACGGCTACAAAGCAGTTCATTCACTGTCTAGACATACCATGATTCATTTAATCAACTGTGGGCTGTTGGGACATTTAGGTTGTTTTCAACTTTTAAAAATTATTTTTTAAAATGTTGTATCTTTGCATATAACATCTGGCACACAAGCTTGATAATTTCTGTCAGACAGATTCTTCTAAGTCCCTGATTCAAAGGTACAACCATTTAAAAATACATATTACTACTTTTTCTTTAGATAAGTAAGATGGGTCCACAAATCCTTTTCCTATAATTCTGAAATCCAAAAAGCTCTGAAACGAAAAGGGTTGTTTTAAAAATATTTTTCAAACCAAAAGTCATCTGGAAGCAAAACCTGACCTGAACCAAAGTGAGGCTATTTATGTCCTTTGTTTATCTCTCAAAAGCATGTAATTATGAAATAAAGACTAGTCCACCCAGGAAGGTAATATACAATATATGTACCATACCAACTTACTTTTTAGCACTTTAAATGCCATTTTATTGTCTCCTGGCCTCCATTTTTTTCTTTAAAAAATGAGAAGGCAGCCATCATTATTATTGCTGTCTTTGGCTCCTTTGAAGATTTCTTCTTCATCTTTGGCTTCAGCAGTTTGACTATGACTATGCTGTGTCTGGGTATGGTTTCCTTTACATTTATGCTGCTAGAGGTTTGCTGAGTTTTTTGACTGCATGGGTTGATGTTTGTTACCAAATTTGGGAAAATTTCAGATACTATTAGGTCAAATGTTCCCAGCTCCCATTCTCTTGCTCTTTATGTTCCAGAAATCCAGCTATAGATATATTCTATGTAAGTTACATATTATATTCATATATATGCCTATCATATTTATAAATTGTAGACATATA